TTTGTCTATCTCCTATAGAAAAGGGTGTTTCCATTTAAAAGCGTCGAATTTGACCCACCCTGTACATGTAAAAATAAATTGAAAATTGCATATATGCGACTAAAAGGTTTGGTTTATTTTAAGAAACATCTTCCTCAGAATACAAAATATTATCTGTGCAATTCGCTAATTTTGGCCTTGTTTGATTACGGAGATGTGGTATACGGCTCTTCATTGACTCAAATAGTTGCCAGATCCATTCAAAAACTTCAAAATTCCTGCATGAGATTTTCGTATAATATCTCATTTCGTATACATATTACGCCATATTTAAATCAATTTAATATTCTGTCTATGGTAAATAGGCGAAAACTTCATGTGTTAACATTTATCTACCGTATCTTACAAACTGGCCAACCGCCTTATTTAAAATCATTGTTTATACCTTTTGACCACACTCATGTAACAAGAAACTTACATGGTTTCAGAATACCTCAACATAGGACGGCTGGCTTTCAGAAATCGTTTTCTTTTCTTGCGCCGCAATTATGGAATTCTCTTCCAATCAGTGTTAAATGCTTTAAATCACATTATTTTAATAAATATGTTAAGAATAATTTGCTGGTTTTACAATCGAATATAATATAGAACTTATTTCTAAATTTATCTTTTATCTTTTGTTATTTTGGCAACTGTGGTGAACGGGCCTTTAATTTGATATGGTTTTGACTGGCTCACTGCTCAGCTTTACAATTTTGGAAAATATTTGTGTATGTGTTGAAATTGTATTTATATACTTTTTAACATTGCTAAATTGTCTTGCAGACGCTTTGTTTTGTGCGCTCGGGGTTTCTTTTTGCTTTGCCGGTGGTCCTCTGTTTTTCTTATGGGTTTGTTTGTTGTTGGTATATTATTGTATTGAAAATGAAATTCTGTTTAATTATTTTTTCAGGGAGTTTCATCGGTTTTGTAATCGCGGTGCACTCCTTATTAGGCTATTAGGCTATTAGTCAGCCAAAGTATGGTTTGTATCTTATATATTTTTTATATTGCGGCCTAATAAAAAGATTTGATTTGATTTGATTTGATTAGCATGACCTCACCACTGATCTCTTTAAAATTCTTACATATAATTTCTTACATTTTCTTCCCTTTGAAGTATAATTTAGGTACTTAAAATGTTAATCTATTACCTGAAACAGATTGGTAGTTTTTAAGTAAAACAAAATTTTAACAGGTTTTTCTTATTAGTAGATTATTGAGGTTTGTGACTGTGCATGGTGAATATGACTGTATAGGCTTTTTCGATCTGATGATAAATAGCGACGATAAGAAAATATTAGATTGAACTGTTGCTCGAAATCAAGGGAATTTATGATATGATTGTCAATGATTTTAATTGCTCCTGGTTATAAAATATCTTGCTAGATTTTTACAACAGATAATTTTCAACCATCTGATATTTGATTTTGTATCTCTCTAGATTGGATGGTGATGACATGATGGAATGTTGTTTGTATACAGGGTGGTGACAATTTCGATGCTCAACATGGGCATCTGAGAAACTACGAGATACGAAATTGGTTAAATGGGACAAAATTTGCGTATTAATTATAAGTTTGACAAACACCTATGAAGAAATCCCCGGTGTTTTGATTAATTTTGAATTTATGTAAAAAAAATGAAAACAATACGTTTATTTTATACAATATATTTAGAACTATTGATTCTATTGCAACGTAAGTTTGTAGTTTTATATTTTTGACCTGAGCCAATTAAATGCCGTTTTCAGAAAATTTCTAAGCATTCTAGATTTTGCACAATAACAGTCAAGTTTGTGTTTTATTATGGCTGCCATTTTGGATTTTTATACTATTAGATAGAGCGAAAAAAAGTCTATACGATGGTATCTAATTTTTATCCATTTTTATGTAAATTCACTATAAATAGATTTTTTAAAAATTCGCCTTTTTTAAAAAGTCTGCCTTGGAAATCCAATTGACACTTTGTATGTCAGCAAGTTATTTTTTGTTTATTCTATTAAGTGTCAAATCTGGATATACAAAAATTGTATAGTAGAGTTCAATACAGACCAATACAGAACCTAAAATAAAATTGTCAAGAATGCCAGCCCAGACGTTCAAAGAATATCTTATTTGTACTCTGGTTTCTCTAATTAAATGAAGATTTTCTTTTGCGTAATGTAAATTTTTCTCTGTTAAATGTAGCACAATTTGTAAATAAAGATTCATGAGTCCATAATATTTTTCTAGAAAAAAGGAGCTTTCTTGAACACTTTCCCGAAACCAATTGCAAAATTCTAATCTTCTCTCGTGATCACCAGCATGTAAGTTTGGTACACATTTAAATTTAAAGTTGTGATATTTATGTTATGCTAAAAGTTTCCGGATTTATTTCAATCTGAGCTGACACATTAATATCGTTAATCTACGACAATGTCATTATGATACATTTAACATTGTCATTTGGATGTCATTATGGCTTTCATAATAGCACTAGTGCCAGAGAATACTAGTGCTATTATGAATTCATAATAACACGCAAATTTTAAAATAAGAAACAAGCAAAAAAAGGTACCTAAATACCTTTATTTATTGTAAACATTAATTATAATATCAGTACAATTGGTTAAATTAATTCCAGACGATGACAGGTGAGTTGAATTTTTAGAAAGTAAATTTATTTCCTGAGTGCTTAAACTTGTTGAAGACCCATCATTGCCAGAAATGTTACCCAAAATATTACATGACACTTTTTTCTTATTTTCTTTGGAATTTTCGATATAGCTCTCTGCCACAGTGTTAGAGCGCCAAACACCATGTCTTTTAACAGTTAATAAATCCACTGCTGAATCTGCAAGCAACGACGCAGACGATCTACGGAAACAATGTCCAATGTATTGTTGTGGATTTGGAAGACTTAGGAACAAAGCTATTTTATACGGCATTGTCCTTAAAGTATTAATGCCAACGGGTTGCTTAATACATTTTCCATTTCTGTACTCCACAAAAAATCGGGTATGCTCTATGTTGCTTGGCCGCATAGCTATATATCTTCGAACCATTTCCACCATATTTATTCCTTTAACATTCCCTTTCGTTATAAAAAAATCTCATGATATCTTTGTTTTCGTAAATGGAATAATGACATGAATGCATTGTCCTTCATCTTTAACATTTTACAGCTGCAGATTTGTCAACTCGATACGCCGGCAGGCTCCCGCAAGTCCCACTATCAATGAAACTTTTTTCAGGAAATAAGTTTTATCATCGGCTTCCAACAAAAAACGAGTTATGTTTTCTTTTCTTAAAGTTCTCGATTTTTTAACCGAAATCCTTCCGATTTTCTTTTTAGAAATGCAATTAAATGGACGTACTTACTAATATCTGTATTTTTCTTCACTGATATAACTGAAGGAAGCATGGAACAATATACCGAAAGTGATGAAATGTGCCTTCCTATGTTTTGAAAGATATTCAAAATATGCCAGGAGAACCTTTTCGTTACTACTATTCTTGATTCCTTTCCCTTTACACCAATCTTCAAGTTTTATATAGGGTTGCTCGTACGTTTGTCTTGATTTTTCGGGAAGTAGGGAATCGACAACGTTTTGTGCAATGCCTTCAATATCCGAAGGGACACTTTCAGAATCAGAATCACCCGTATTAATATTATGTTTTGCTTTTTTGCTAAAACTGAACGTTTAACACGAAATTGAACATCAATAATTGAGTTGTCAAAGTCAAAATGGAAACAATCAACAAGCACGGTTACCACGGCGTCGACTAATATGGCCACCTGATAATTTTGAATTTTAATTTTAATGAGGATATCTCTGATATTTTAAATTAAATCAAATCTCTTTGGATCGTCCCTCGTGTCGCGTCGTAGATTAAATTTTAAATGATACACGTTCGATAGGAACTTTTTAATGAAACTTGTGTAACTAAGCCACTCGGCCAACGCCTCGTGGCTTAACGTTACACGCGTTTCATTATGATGTTCGTATCGAACTTGTATCATTAATAACTATAATAAGCCTTTTAAAATATTGCACTCTTGTTTTTTAAAGCTAAATTTCTTTAATTATAACTGCTAAATTTCTTGAAATCCTTGCGAAAATAGTGCGATAAGGCTGTGTTCTTTCAGAATACAATGTTCTATGACTTGCGGATACTATATCGGAATTTCTATTATTTTTAATAAATTTTTTTAATAAACGTCATACATATCTCGTTTTTCTTGACTTGTGAACATATTGTTGACTATTAATACACTTTAAACTATCTACTATAAATTTTTGTGTGTCCAGATTTGACACTTATTAAAATTATTATACTTTATAAAATAAACAAAAAATAACTTGCTGACATATAAAGTGTCAATTGGATTTCCAAGGCAGACTTGATCTTAGGCGAATATTTAGAAAATCTAATATCTATAGTGAATTTACATAATAATGAATAAAAATTAGATACCACATAGACATAGATACCGCATAGACTTTTTTTTCGCTCTATCTAATAGTATAAAAATTCAAAATGGCGGCCATAAGAAAACAAAAACTAGACTGTTATTGTGCGAAATCTAGAAAGCTTAGAAATTTTCTGAAAACGGCATTCCGAGATCAAAAATATAAAACTACCATCTTACGTCGCAATAGATACAGTAGTTCTGAAGATATAGTCATTTAAAATAAACGTATTATTTTCATTTTTTTTACATAAATTCGAAACTAATCATGATACCGGGGTTTTCTTCGTAGATGTTTGTCAAACTTCTAATTACGCAACTTTTTTCCATTTAACCGAATTCGTATCTCTCGTAGTTTCTGAGATGCCAATGTTGAGCATCGAAATTGTCATCACCCTCTATAGAAAAAGCTGTCACCACTTGTAACAAATTGTTTATTCTAAATAAAACACCATTATTTACACCCTTCGATACAATATTTTACCAGGAATCGACATATAAACGTATAGTATCTCGTTGTATTTCAGGTGTCGTCAGCTGATATGGGTACCGCTACGCCGAGAGCTTCAACCTGCAGGTGCCTTTCGAATACATCAGTAGTTCTTCAGCCAAGTAAAATAGTGTGGTGTGCGGTTAGTGAACGAAAATCGCCGAGTCATACGTGTTTTAAAAGTAAGTTTTTTAGCTTATTTTTGTGGTAAGGCCTAACATTCTACCGATTGACCCAGATAAATAATTTGAATATATCTATAAATAATTCAGAATTTTATAAATTTTTGACATTTTAAAAATTATTGTATAGGACTGAGGTATACAAACTTGTATATTAAACTTATTTATTTTTGATTAATGATGAGCACATATGCGAGACCAACACCACAACTCCCTTGATCTTGGTTTTGCATCGTCCAGTTTTGGTGGACATTTTTTTTTTATTTTTCAATATGTTATATTAAAGCAGCATTTTATTACACTAATTTGTAATAAATTAGAACAATAACTTTGAACAAATATGTAATTTCTTACGTCACTAGATCACATAAACGTGAAAAAGAAATGCAAGATCGCAAAAGTCTTGCATGTTTGGTCTTGCGAAAGTCTTGCACTGGTCGGTCTTTGTTTTGCTTTTGCTTTCTGTGCAAGACCAAGGCCAAGGTCAAGACTGCAATACTATGACCAGACCCGCTCATCCTTGTGTTTGACATTGTTTATTTAACAATAATCTCACAACAACCAATAGTAAGGGAAAAAAATACGAACCAAAAGTAACTACAAGCATCTAAAGCAAAACAGAATACTGAACGAATACTAAACGCATAAAATAATAAGACCAAAACCCAATATTGAATAATTGGTATTTAAATTAATACTGATATTTAATAGCCTACTACACAATCTTAATAAAATTTTGTACTATAGATTATTCACTAATTAATTAATTTAATTATTCAGTTATCAATTTATTTTAGCATGAATTAACAGTAAAAAACAAAGAGTAAAGTAATAATAATTTTAAGTAACTTGTTAAATTTAAGTTAGAATATAGAATTTTTAGAATAGAAGAAATGCGAAAAAATCGGGTTTGATAGGGTTTTTCGTATAAGAATCTTTAATTCAGCATTTGCCTACGAAGATATTTTGATCATATAGTGTGAAAGAAAATCACGGTTTTTTCAACTTTTTTAAATGCATCACAGAAAGTAGCTCAAATTTGGATTGTGCATTTACTAAACTTGATATCATATTTTTCGTTTCTCTTTAGAATGATTATTTAAATATTTTATAATGATTTTGAATATAATAATTTTCAGATAGAAAAACGAGATTTGGTATGTTAGTATATGACATAAGTAATAAAGTATAAAAATACCGAAGGTGTCATTTAAAAATAAATAGTTGTAGTCGTTTCCGGTGAAACAGGAAGTGGCCGAAAACCATTAAGTATGAATGCCGAAAACCATCAATCAATCCCCATTTTTGTCATATTCTAACTTAACAAATCTCGTTCATTTATCTGAAAAAATAAAAACGTTATAGGGGGTGAGCCACTTTTGAGAAACACCCGGGATATATAGTTTTTAAACAGCTATCTAGGTAATAATACCTTTTTACTCGATTAATTTTGATATTATACAGGGTGGTCCGAACTGTATTCCGGAAACTTCGGCAGCATATTCTGCAGATAAAAATAAGTAAAAAAGTTTCAATATTCGTCAATATTTGGATGAAAATTGGTGTATGGGAGTTTTTTGACATGAGAAATTTGATTTTGATGACAATATTACTCCTACTAGTAGAGGGCGCCACCTACACGTGTTTTAACTGATTTGAAGCGTAATAACTTTTTGTCCGTACCTGTATAAAACTACCGAGCGAAAAATTATACATCTCTGTGACTTTTTACGTACAAAATATCTCTTTGTAAAAATCGCTACCAGCTACCCTTCTGAAGATATTTAGAATGGAAATAGTCAATACATGTCATTATTGACTAAAAATAAACACTTTGAATAGATATATACATAGTTATTTCACTGAAATAATAAATTTGGGAAACTTTTATTTTTTTAAATTAATCATAAATTGTTCTGAAAAAATTGATGATAAAACAGTTTCTGTTGAACTTTTGGCACAAAAACATTTCAAATTTATGATTTCAGTCTAATAACTATTTAGTCAACGCATGTTTAATTTATGTCAATGATGACAGGTATTGATAATTTCGATTCCAAATATCTCGAAAACCATTACTCGTAGCTATTTTTACCAAGAGACCTTTTTCATGTGGAAAACGTTGTAAATGTATATTTTTTTACTCGGTAGTTTTATACAGGTACGGACGAAAAGTTATTACTCTTCAAACTAGTTAAAACTATGTAGGTGGCGCCCTCTACTAGTAGGAGTTATATTGACATCAAAATCCAATTTTTCATGTCAAAAAACTCCCAGATACCAATTTTCATCCAAATATTGACATTATTTCAGAAATTATTTGGAAAAAATCAAAATAAAAATGAAACTTCTACACCCTGTATCTCCGAAACTAAGCATTTTAGAACATACATTTATACGAACTTTTTTACTTATTTTTATCTGCAGAATATGCTGCCGAAGTTTTCGGAATACAGTTTGAACCACCCTGTATATCATATTTTTTGCTAGCCTACAACATTTCAATTTAGAAACATTTAGATGCATAAATATGTTTTTTTACATAATACAATTAATTAGTAACACAATAATTACAGTATTAGTACAGATCTATAATATTATATACTTAATATCGTCCCATTGCTGCTACGTAATATCGTCCCATTGCTTTAATATCGTCCCATTGCTGCCAAAAGTCGCTAACTAACATTTTTCCGAACAACTAAATTCAATCACTAACTATATTTTGAAGCGGAGAATCGATTGCAAAAGTCATTAACTACGATTTCTGGCTATTTATGTTTTATTTTAATACCGAATAGTTAACTAATAACTATAACAACTTTATGCAATGCAATTCATCTTTAGACGCATTTTTCTCGGAAGTAATAAAAAGTAAGTTAGTGACTTTTGGCAGCAATGGGACGATATGTTGTGTTAGTAATCCATAAAATTGAACATTAAATTAGAAAAAAAAAACTCAGCGGTTGAACTCGAATTAGCCTAATAATATGATACTACAGATTTTGTCTTATGAACTTGCGCGTGCCAATTTCTATTTGTTAACAATAATACATAAACATATTATTCCAAATCCAATTTGATTATACAGGGTGGCGCACCTCATTCGCCTCGGTTGATTATACGAAAACGGAAAGATGTAGAAACAAAATATTTTATGGGTATGTGGGGGGAGGTAATGTGCACAATTTAAAATTATTTTGAAATATACAGGGTGTTTCAGAACTAAGATCCATACCAAACTTATATATTTTCTTATGTAACACCCGGTATTTTATTTCATTTTTGGATTTTTGGACCTAAAAAAGGGATTTGTTATTAGTGTTAAATATGATTTTTGGTTTTTGAGATAAAATTATATAAATTTTTGGTTTTAAAGATATTTAAATATGCATCCTACAATAGAATTATCAACACCCTGAACACGCTTTTCAATACCTTTCAGAATTAATTATTTTTCCAAGAAAAATAAAACAATACCTGCTGTCCGAACGAATGGATATGTTACTAGTGATTTTATTTTGTGAGAAAAATATCTTCTTGGCCCCCAGGGCTTAAAAAATATCCAAATAGGAATCTTCCTGATAAGCGTTCCTTTGAAAAACTACTTGTCCTAGTAGTGTTTTTTATAAAAAAAACTATTAGGCAGAAAACTGTCGTTCGAAGTGAAGAAAATGAATTTGCCGTAATTGGTTATTTTATAGAAAATCCATATATCTACAAGTCATCGTAAAATAAATCAAAGAACTAGTTCTTCGTTTTTCTTGATAAAATAATAAAAACATTTTTAACATATATTATTTATTAAACTAGTGTAGGGGTAAATTAAATAAAAGGAAAGTGCTATAAATTTAAAGTAAAGTTCACAAACTAATTTAGATTTTGGAAATAGTTATTGACAGTTAATAGACTACTAGAAACTTGCCATGACGACATCAGCCCCTTTGGTTGCCATTTTATTTAAAAAAATGCCCTTTATTCAAAATCTAAGCTAGGTAGATATAGGAAACGCTATACTAGTTTGAAAGAGCATTTAAATCTGATCGACTTATTTTAAAAAATACAGGGTATTGCAATTGAAATAACAATTTTTTTTATGTAAAATAAATATTTAAAGTAGACCAGCAATTTTTAATATCTCTGTATACATTAAACTAAGCAAGCAAATTTTTCAGTAAAATTTATTTCTCTGGCAAAAAAGTAAATGTACAGGGTGTCGACAATCATTTTTATTATAGCAGGCATATTTAAATATTTTTAAATATCTTAAAAACCAAAGCTTGTAAACATATTTAACCCTCATAATAAATGTCTTATTTTGTGTCCAAGAATCCAAATATGAAATAAAATACCGGGTGTTCCGGAAGAAAAAATATAACTTTGGTGTGGATCTTATTTCTGACACACCCTGTACATTTCAAAATAATTTTAAATTATGCACACATTGCCTTCCCACATATACCGGTAAAATATTTTGTTTCTGCAGCTTTCCGTTTTTGTATAATCAACCGAGGCGAATGAGGTGCGCCACCCTGTATATTATATTTTATATTTTTTTGTTATTGTTATACCTATTGCATACAGCTTTTCTTCAGTTGAATTTAATTTTCCATTACTTATTACTTCGTAACTGTATACATAAATTGAATTAAAGACAGTTGGATTTTTACTGTCACTTCGAAATACACCGTACGAATTTAGTTGCTTTCCTTATACATCTTTGTGCTTATTAAATTCCGTAACGGTACAAAATTCCCGATATCCGCCGTATGGCGAACCCAAACTTAATATCTGTCAGGCATAAAATCGAAACAAATATACAGCGATATACGTCACTGAACAATTTTACTATTGTTGGTCGTTTACTATGCATAATTTTTGACATAATTTCTTAATTATTTATCTAAAATACACTCACCGGCACGAAAAACGGGCACCTTAAAATTTTAATGTATTCTAAAGTTTTACCTATTGTATTCTAGTGGACCGATTTTGATGAT